CACTAAGTGTACATATTTCCTTGTTTTATTCCGTAGATCAAATAGCACATGAAGCCGATTTGTTTCATCCTGTTACTGGTTCCAGGCTGAAGTGGGCTTCATCTTCGTCTTGATATCTCTTTTGTGATAGCTTAGAAGCCTTTCCTTTTCATATCGCTTAGATATTGATTGATGATTCATACGAGTTGTTGCATGTTGATAACTATTTATAGTCATTTCACTTTTATTTGTACATGTTTATGATAAATCGAGTAAAAGTTTACCTTTTTGAGTTAGCTGCTGGTTATCAGTTATGTCTCCTAGTACCTGCATATAAAAAAGAATCTTTCTATTGTGAAAATCTGGTTGCATGCCTGCATTCGCGTCACTGCTCAAGGGTAGGTTGAGCGTTCGGTCCTAAGGGTTCCACTCTCGCATAATTATCTGCTCACATCTCATTTCGAAGACCTGAGGCGATCCTCAGACTCCATCTCCCTCATTTACATCAGCAACTAATGGGCTACTCGAGGCGAAACGGGTTGAAGGATTTTTCATTCTCAAAATTTCTCGGTTGGGAGGGGAAGAGGAAGAGAAAGGGAAGGATGACTTTTTGAAATTACTTCCTCTACTAGAAACGGTTTACACGGTTGACCGGATTCTGCTATAGTTCTCGGTAGTCTGAAATTCCTGAGGGATACGGTAAAGGAAGCGGTAGCTGGCTGGCTGTCAATGGCAGCCAGCTACCGCTTCTTTTACCGAAATGAGCAAGAGGGATTTCTTGCCAAAGTTTCATTTCGAGGTACTTCCTGTATTTCAATTTTTTCGATGCCCGCTGCGTTGGTAGAAGGCAAACCCAAATCTCGAACATCACTCGACCATCATTTGTCCAGAAATTAGCTGATTCTAACATTACCCTCCATCTTCCGTCGACAATCCTACACTGTTATCGTTACGTCAGGCCACTCTTTTCTTGCTGTCAGTTAACTGCTGTGGTCTAGGATCAATTTTTAAATAGGTTTCGTTCCGAATTCTCTGAAGTTTTTGATTTCGTCGTGCTTTGGAAGAGCTGGTTTTGAGGCGCTGTTTCTCTGCTAGATCATTTTTCATTTTCATTTTCAGATGATATCTCGATTTTGGAAGAAGTCGGAGGTGCTGATGAATGGCACTATCGCCGTTTCTCTGTACCGTTCGACTCGTAGTCGTTTAGTTGTAGCGATAGGTGATGTGCCTGGCCCTCTGGTGAAAGGGTGTATTTCATTTGGTGAGTATTGCTACTAGAGACTTTGACACTGAGACTTTCCAAACTTCCTATTTTTCCCATTCTTTTTGCTAGTTTTGTCAGTACTAGTTTTTTTTGCGTCGAGCGAAAGACGCTCGTCACATAGCTGCTGAAAAATGGGCTGCTCGTAAATCACCAGCTGCTCCTCCACCCGTCTGCACACATTTACCCAATCCCCTGACCTTCCCCAAATTGAGGATTTATGGGAGACTCCGTCCACTTAAGAGCAAGCTCTGCCTATACTGAGTGGTCCTCCCTCTCACTCCAAGTGCGCTTTGTACCCTTTGGCATTGCTCATCTCTACCATTTTTTCTTTCTATTCCCTATAACCTAGTTAGGCGTTTTCTTAGCAAGCGCTGTCCCATTGAAAGCAGGCTTTACCCACTGATGGTGGGTTCTCCTAATTGGAACTTGCAACCGGCTGCAAACCTTTACTCATTTTGCCCGGTCTCTAGGTTATTCTGGAGCCCAATTAGACAAATTTGCTTTTCAGGATCCGCCCTCATTTGTGCGCAACCCCCCAAGGTATTCCGCGTACCACACGTATGTGCTGTGCTTCCTGAACCATGCACATGCTTAGCTGTCACTTGATTCCGCCTCTCAAGTGAGACTTCACGCCATACCTAATTTTGTACGGAGACCTCCGGCGCAGCACAACGCAAAAACCAACCACACTCTGCAATCTTCATATATTTGAACTATTATGATGTTTTTTGTTTTAATTAGAACTTTACTTAAAAGCTCACCATTTCAGTAAAACTGAGACGGATTGTACGAAATCGCCCTACCTCACTAACGTGAGCATTTGGTGTTTATGGGCAGTAAGAAATATCCGTACAAAGGAGTTTTGGACGTTATTGCCAACCGCTGCTTGGCCAGCGGCACAAATGCGTGGACAGACCAAGACCACACAGCGTATACGTTAAGCACAGTAAGTTTATTCCACTTTCTAAAACGGAATTCGGAAACCCTTCGCTTTGCATTTTCATTCAACGCATGTGCGGGTTTTGCCACGGGTTTGAGCGAAGCGTATTTTCCCAAGTCTTACAGTCTATCATAAATCATTTCTACTGTCAGCCCTATCTCGTCATGATAGTGTATCTGCAATTTATCTACTTCTGTACTATAACTGAAAAAGTGATAAAGCATCCTTCGCCGTAGATCAATTCCCGATTTTTGGCAATCGCCGACACCGCATTCTAAACTTCCATTTGTCCATTTCGATGCAGTTCCAACACTACTCGAACATTAAGTGGCCCTATACCATACTCCGCACTCTGCGGCCCCGCACTCAGCCAGCCAGCTCAATGTGTCCAAAACTACTAGAAAACGCATGCGTCTAAATTCAAGGACCAAAAAATCTCCTCGTGGAACAAGGAATCTAAACAAGATCTGAATAGCACATGATATATATTAAGAACACTCGAAGGTGGAAAGCTTGATTGGCCCGGGCGTACTATAGGATCTGATCCCGGCGCATCGCGTGTCAGGCGGCCACTTGCTTTCCGTCCATCTTCTATATCTTTGATGCATATTTCTCAAAAAGGGGGTTATACATTGCTACTTGCGGCGGGATCTACGCTTAACTGCTAAGCGGTCATTGAAACGGAAGATTTCCTTCCGCCTTGCCGCTGATCCCATTTTTAATTGTGGTCCACTGATGATAAACTAAAAGTCTGGCGGTTGTCCGTCTGCCATGTCACGAATTCAGCCGCGAGTGGAACCGCATATAATTCTGCCTATCCTATGCTATTTTTTTTTGTAATAAACGGATGCGCGTTCATATTCAGTCAGATGATGTCCATTTTGCTTGAAGTTTTCGATCACATGTTTTTCATCCGGCTTCCTCTTGTCAGTAATGACAGCCCAGAACCACACCGGTTAGTTGAGTGATGGTCAAGTGATACTCAGCCCGTTCCTTACATTTGGCGAGTTTCGGTGCTTCTTCAATGCTGTATTCACTCATTATTGTTCCTCAATGTTCGATGGTAATCAATTACTGGTTTTCTTTCAAGGCATCCCAGTTCGCTACCGAAGTCCATCATATCAACGGGAAAGGTGAAGATGCTGGTGTAGTCTACAGTGAAATGCAAGATCATGAATCGGAAATGTCATGCATAATGGATAGGCGGGTACTCTTACTGTCAAGTATTTTGAGTACTTTTTTTCGAGTGTGATTTGTTTTGAGAAAGAAGAAGGAAGTTTTTGTACCCTCCAAACAACTCATATCGTGTCGACACGGGTGGACGGTTACCGAGCCTTAGGACGACGTGTAATTTGCAAAAGGTGAGAGCACTAAACACATATTTTTAGTGTTTAGTGCAGCAGTAGAGGGTTTTAGGTCCGGATTTCCACCAGAATATTATCACCTATGAAATATAGTGACGGTATCAGGAGATGTCAATCATTGAACGACTGTTGAAAGATTATTGAACTAGCAGACGGAGGAGATCCTATGTTTGCGCTTTTATCCTCAATCCTGTACTGATTTCTCCCTTTCAGGAGCACTTAGCCGAAGTACCGGCGTCGTTTCAAAGACCATTCGTTTCACTCCATCTGAAGCCAATGGCCGAATCGAGCGAACATCGCGTCGTGTGCCCAAGCGATGACGAATCTCGCGGAAGTGTTGAGATCAGTTGGTAGGATCTGTGGTTCTTCATGGATTCCATGTTTTTGTGCGGTAGATTACCAGACATGAGTCTCCAAATTGTTTTCGGACATCACGCTCTCTAATGTGCCCTTTTCTGGTCTTTCGTGGACGACTATTCCTCTTTCTCAAGGTCATCGCTAGGCCGCTTCTCTTCCATTTAAAATATCTCTTTTGCCATATTTGGTCGAGTACTTTGCCCTGACTTCCCTGTCTTATTGGTAGTATATTTTCGTGTCCCCACTTTATCCCATGGCACACGCTGCGCCCCTACTAGCTGTGCATGTACTGTGGAAATTGATAGAATCTTGTTCAGGGTTGACCCGCCCACCGATTTCTCAGAAGAGAGGGTAGCTTTCGATGTTCTGGTTTGACTATATTCGAATACCCTGTACTCTCCGTTTAACACTACGAAGAATTCGTGCTGACATTGAAGAATACCATTGCTTCCAGTCAAGCTTCCACGTCTTAACTGCGCACAGGTTCGGATGCAATCAATCACCAACGTTTGTTTGCTTCGATTATAAATCTCACAATTGAAAGATTGAAACAGATCTGTTGCACGACGCACATGCCTAATTCAACTCTCATTTTCCGGTGTGCCGACAAAGCGCTTAGATGATGTCAGCAAAAAGTGAGTCCGTTCTTTGCCCTCCTTAGGTACGCAGTTTATACGTATTATGCCCTCGCTTTTAACCCATTGACGACAGAGAATTGTCGGCTTAATTTATTGATATATGTCGTTAGTTGAGTTGAAGGAGGATTTCACGATAAATACGAGGATCGAAGAACGGAAGTTCCTCGTGGAGACACGATCAGTGCGGACCTTCCACTAGTTTGACGGACGCGACACGCAATCACATTGAAGAAAATAGCTCCCTTACTACTCTGGTATGCCTGCTCGCAACCGCTAGGCGCTACTATCGCGCGGTACCCCCCTCCTCGCTGTCTAGAGCCCCGAACGGCATTTGCAGGATGGAGTGAAGCAGGATGTAATGATAAATAAAAAAATAATAATAAAAGTGCATGAATGCGTGCAGGACACGTACGTCCCGCGCTGTTCGTCGTCGTCTGCAAAGTGCGAGGCGTGTGTGTCCACGTGGTTGTCAAAGGCTGACACAGATAAAGCTCATGCATGTCGAGCTGAACAAAAGTGTTATAGGTTCATGGAAAAAGTTGTGAAGGAACATTTGGAAGACAAGACTTGGGACATGGAACGAATGGGTTTTCTCATTGGGCAATCAGTGAAGAATGAATTAAAAAAGGTAAGCTTTCTATCTGAAACATATTAGAATTGTAGGGATCTTAATTCCTTACTATTTTATCACATCAACTGGTTTCTTCAGATGGAAAAACATCCTGCAACCCAATTGTTTGGTCATATGATCGGACATCAGCTATACGATGAAAACTTAGACAACCTAAAAACCGGATGATGAGGTACCAAATTTACCTATGAGTGAAGTGTAACAAAAGAGACCTTTAAGTTTCTTTTGAAACACCAATGGCTATCTGCTTGTTGGTAAAGTTTGATGTTATATTATACCAAATTGGCTGCGCACGCATCGCGTGCATCACGCGGGAAAGTGGTGTAAAATAAGGCTGTCGCCATTTTTACATGCTTTGCAAAACATCGCCATTCGGTGCACACTTCACCCGCCTTATACTAGTTGACCTCCCTGTTTTGTTGGCCCGATTCCACTTTTTTTCCGGACAAACCCCTTGGTACGAAGCTTGTGATATTTGTGATACTCCGCCCACTCCGTACAACTATAGCACGCTAATGCAACACCTATTTTCCGGTGTTATATCGCTTTCCACTTTCTGCCCATCCTCCAGGACTTTTCTCGAAGCGAAATTATAATCAACTCTGAGCGCAGTTCCTCGGCCCACATTAGTGCGCTGCCTTCCCCCTCGCCGTTAGCAACAACCCCTCCATTCCGTTGTCTGATTCTGCCTACCAGCCGTCGCACGCTGCATTCAACGCAACACAGCTACTACCCTCTTCACCACTCTACATCACTTCCCCGTATCCGTACTTCTCTGAATCGCGATTTACTGATAAAATTGGCCCGCTTCAAATTGGGCGAGCTCCCAACCGGGCCTGATTGTGGTTTGTACTTTTATTATCGCCGTGCGCCACCCTCCCCTTACCCCCGACCTGTAATTTGTTCTTCAGTAAGCACCAATTTCGTGGCAGCACGACGAACAGACAGAGAGCTTGCGGATATTATTATTACTTATTTATAATTATTATTTATACTATATTATTACTCATTTTCATTTTATAGCTAGAGCTAATTCGCCGTCTACGGTCAGAGCCAGCTTCGTTTTGGTCTGGCCTTGTAAAGAAATACTTCACTAGCCCTCATGTGGTTGTAGTCGGCGTTCCAAGTGAAAAGATGGTTGAACAGGTAGGTTAGACCAATAATTTAAATTTATTCGAAATATCCCAATTTCTTTTATTGCTCATTAATCAGTTCATGCCTGGGTTAGATGTGCTCCACAAAGGCTGCGTCACATATCACATGTTATGTCCGCAATAACCCTGATAATTGATTTACGCTTACGCGGCGCGCTCAACTCGCTAAATTACGTCTGCAAATACTCTCATTGACCCGGGCAAATTGGAGCCGTCTCTGCGCCCTCGCGCGAGCTAGCAGCGTCTGTCATTATATTGAGCGTACCCGTATCTTAAGTGTCGTTTTTTCACCGCGAGTTTCGGACCACCAATATTTTAATTCAAAATCCAGTGAGTGAAACGGCATATCCATCGAATGACTCATTAGCCCTTTCCCATTTACCAGTATGAGTGAAAACCTCGTACGATTAAAGTTAGGAATTTTTTGAGACGAAAAAGAGAGGTAGGTCGAATTTGACATCATCTGACAAATCATCCCTCTACACTTGCTAAACAGTTGGGCCTGGACAAAATATGTATACATTTAGTTAGAGTAGGGTCTGCACTGTTTGGTGGAAAATTTATTACTTACCAGCTCAACTGGACAATTTTTCCCGGAGTCTTTTTTGCCACATGGGGTCAAAAACGCACCCTTTTTGAGCACACGTGAGTAGCAGATGAGCACATTTATTAGAATTTCTTGGTCAATCAACTTCGTTAGAGCGTCTGTGCACCATCGATCAGTAACTGCTAGGGTGTCCTACCATTCCAGCACAAGACTGGTGCAGCCCCGTTTTGACTGATTTAGCTAGGACCACCTTTTTGGCGACGGTTGCGGGCATCCCTTCAAAGACTTTACTGTCTTTTAAGAAAACTGTGAAAAACCGATGAGCATTTTAAATGGTAGTATTCCCTCCATCAAATGCAATGCTGGTTTGGTGGGCGGAGGTTACAGCTCTCAGCAAGAATTTTGATGCATTTGGTACACACATGCGAATTTGCACACTGGACCCAGGAATTTTCAGAAGAAAGTATAAAAATTGGGGGAAAGTTAAATTGTGAACCAACAATAGAAGACGGTAAGCAACATATTTCGCAATATTAATGAGCAAAAACTGCCTTCTGGGATATTGATTTTCCATAGTAATCGGCCCCAAAACTTCCTGAACTCAGAAAAGCGACACTAAGATATCCGGTACCTAATAGTTTTGAACAGCGCTTGCCTGTGAACGATGACTGAGCAGATATGGCCAAATTGCTTCCTCAGCGGTCTCATTGAAGCTTTTTTTCACAGCAACTGTAACAATTTGTATATTCAGGTGGCCAAGGAAGAAAAAACTCGCTTGGATAAGCAGCGTAAAGAACTCGGAAAGGATGGAATTAAGGAGTGTGGAGAGAAAATTCAAGCGGCCATAAAAGAAAACACCGCCAAAAAGCCGAGCGCTGAAGTATTGAACGAGTTGATTGTGAGAAAGTTGGAAGAATTCGATCGATTCCCCGTGGATATGAAGAGTAACAGGGGCGGCTCGCCGTCATCGCAGCCGATCGCCAAGTTCCTGGATCAGTTCCCTTTCCCAGCAACAGTTCGTAAATTGTCCCCAACGAAGTTCGTCGAGTTGTTCTTCTTGTTCGACACGAGCGTTTTGACGGTTGAACAGCGGGCTATGTTGGATGTTTACACCGAGCTTTTATTCGAATCTCCAGCTAAAATCAACGGAGTGGTAAAGAGCGCTGAAGAAGTGTCCAAACTGTACACGAAGGTTGGTTTATTTCATTACAAAATATGCCTGCTCCCAGAAATGATTCATTTTTCAAGGATCTGGTCGATCACTCGATCTATGTGGGTGTCTCTGGCAATTTCGAGAAGTTACTGCATCTAAGAATTGTGGTGAGATTTTGAAAAATTCTTTCAG